CCGAAAAGTGGTCGTCACTGAGCTGGAGTCGGAGGGCCCGCTGTTGGTCCAAGAGCGGCTGGATGGTGGCGGCCAGTGTGCGATATCCAGGGCGGTACTCGGGGGCCTGGGCAAAGTGCTTGCTGCCTATCGTCATCATAGCGTCCATCATGAAACCCCAGTCGGCGTTGGGTGTCTGCTCCTCGTTCTGGATGGTGGCCCACTCGTCAGCATGCTCACGTAAGTAGGTCTCGAGCTCGATGAGGAAGGCCGCGCGGCCTTGGCCCGAGCGAAGCGACTGCATAAGCGCCTCACGGTTCCAGCGGATGGCCCGCGGCAAGTAGCCCAGGCGGCGATGCTCCGTCATGTCGCAGTGAATGTGAGAGTCCGTGGTGGCCGAGATTGAATAGTACATGCAGGCGTGGACTGGGACGTGGTCCCTGGGCGAGCGGGTGGCGATAACCTGCAGCTCTCTGCCCAAACGACGAAGCGGCCCCGCCGAGGTGATGTCGCCCAGGCAGGCCTTGGGCACGAATATGAAATCGATCTGCGAGGCCGTCGTCGAACCGAAGTACGTCGGGCCCAGGCCTATGTAACTGTTGACCGCCACCATGCCAAGCTCCTCCATGAGGGGCAGGATGCTGGTCGCGGCGTAGCGCTGCTTGTCCAGAGCCAGCGGGCCGCTGACGTCGGAAGTAGTGGGCCGCCACTGGGGGTCGCCGTCGAGCTGGTGTAGTCCGAGCCCTGAGTTCAGGTCGATGCAGAAGATGGGGAGGACCCGCTTGGAGCTGAGGTAGGGCAGCGAGCGGAGCCAGTCCGTGAGCGCATCACAGGTGCGGCGGTAGACGTCCTGGCCGCCCTTGACGGGCGGCGGTGGGTAGTAGGCTGAGCAGACGCCGAGGTCGTACCTGGAGCACCTGGCGCGGAGCGCGAGCCCGCGCCCCGCCAGAGACCCAGCAGGCGTCCAAGTGTGCGTCACGGAAGCCTTCTTCACCTTGGCCCCCAGGATGATGCTGCAGCCCGCGCTCTTGTTGGTATACGGCCCGCGAGCCCACCCGCTCTCTATACACCAATTGTGATCTCCTGCCTTTCGCCAGCGTGCCTCCCAGGGTCTCTCACGCCCGTGGCCCTTGGCAGTCGTGCCGTTCAGGCACACGAAGTCGTAGGCTCGGCAGGCCTGTGCGATCGCGGTGAGCCTCTCCCCGCTGGACGCGTGCAAGGGGTTATACTGGAGCACTCGAAGGCGGCTGCCGACCATCTCGCGCACGAGCAGGAGCCAGCAGCCCACACTGAAACATCTAGAAGCCATCGGAAACGAGGTAAGATGTGAGAGGGATGTCTCTGAGAAGAGGCATGCAGGTGGTGTGGGAGCTGGGCGCCTGTCGCCCTGGGCACCTGTGCGGGCGCTCCTGACCCAGATGCCTTGGAGGAGCAGGAGGAGCAGGAGGAGCAGGAGGAAAGAGACGAGGACACGAGGAAAAGGGGAAGGGGGAGGGGGAGGGGGAGGAGGACAAGCTAGGTGCGCTCGCGTCATATCTGACGTCCTACCCCTCCCTCCCATCCCTTACCATGGCGCTGATTTTCTCTATCCGCGGACGCGTGTCGTAGCGGACCTGTGGCTCCGCGCGCGCGTGCGTAGTGGGTGGTGGTGCGCGTGCGTGCGTGCGCGTGCGTGTGTGCGTGGGTTGTGGTGGTGGTGGTGGTGGTGGTGGTGGTGTGGTGGTGGTGTGGTGGTGCTGGTGGTGGTGGTGGTGGTGTGGTGGTGGTGTGTGTGGTGGTGGTGGTGGTGGTGGTGGTGGTGGTGGTGGTGGTGGTGGTGCGGCGCGGTGGTGGCGGGCGGATGGGCGCGCGAGAAAGAGGCCCGCGCTGGGGCGAGAACGCCATCCTGAACGACGGAGGCCAAACACCGATCCGAAAATGAGGCCCACGCTGCAGCGGGAGCACGATTCGGAACGATTCGGGAGCAGAAATGAGGCCGGCGCCTCAGCGAGAGCAGCATTTTGAAAAAAAACGCAAGCGAAAACCCAACTCCCGGGAATCCTGTGTGTAAAAAACAGTACGCGGGGGGGGGGTCTACTACTCCCTGGACGCCATCAGGGGAAGAGGGAGAGTAGTATTCATATTGACTAATTGTGGAGGAGGAGGAGGAATGCGACTACGAGGAAGAGGAGGAGCAGGAGCATTCCGAGGAGGAGGAGGAGGAGGAGGAGGAGGGCGAGGAGGAGGAGGAGGAGGATCACTGCGAAGCGGAGAAGGGCGAGGAGCATGAGGATTAGTATGAGGAAAACAAGGAGGAGCACGGCGAGCAGGAGAAGGAGGAGAAACACAAGGAAGAGGTCGATGCCGAGGCAGAGGATGAATAGAAGGAGGATGATGAGGATGATGAGGAGGAATGAGAAAACGAAGAGGAGGGAGGAGGAATGAGGAGGAGTGGAAGGAGAAATGAAAACGATAATGAGGAAGGAGAAAACGAAAATGAGGAATGATGAGGAGGATGAGGAGGATGATGCGGGGGACGAGGAGGAGTGAGATGAGGATATACAGGAGGCGGAGGAGGAGGAGGAGGAGGTCGAGGAGGAGGTGGAAGAGGAGGAGGAAGAGGAGGGGGAGGGGGAGGGGGAGGAGGGGGAGGAGGAAGAGGAGAAGGAGGAGGGGGAGGAGGAGGGGAGGACCAATGTAAACCCAAGGGTCATCAACGGTGTCAAAATAAACCCTCCCTCCAAGCTCCCTCTTCATAGGCCTCTACGAAGGTTCATATCCATTGAGGGAACTGCCTCGGTGGAAGACAACCGATTGAAGACCCTGAAGCATGCCGAAACATTGTTCTCGGGATTCCAACGCTACGGATCATCCTGACTGTTGCGTCTTGACGATCCTGAATCGTGCCAGAACGCCAATCCTGGGACTTCAACACCGCGAATCAACGTGACTGCTGCACCCGCATAATCCTGAATCCTTCCAGAGCGCTACTTCTGAGACGTTGATCATGGGAAGCAGTGAAACTCTTGCAAATGATACAAACGAATGTGCGCGGCCAAAAGGCAAGAGCCGCATTTTGAAAGCGCCTCGCCCTCAATCCGTGAAACTCTTGCAAATGCTTTAAATGAATGTGCGAGGCGCGAAGACGAGAATCGCATTTTGAAAACGACTCGCCCTCATTCCGTGAAACCCTTGCAAAGTTGTACAAAGAATGCGCGCGCCGCTAAGGCGAGAGGCAAATTCCCTACCTAGGCTCTGCCTAGAAGGGTTCTTACTCGGTATGCTTAAAGGGCCGGGCAGTGCAACTCGCCCCGGGCGGTTCCCCCAGTATCCGCCCCGCGGTTCCCCCAATTACGTCCCCTTAGCTTAGCGTTGCTTATCTCATCTTAGCTTAGCTTATTTCATCTTAGCTTAGCTTAGCTTCATCTTAGCTCAGGTTTATCTTAGCTTAGCTGACCTTCATCTTGGCTTCGCTGAGCTTTAGCATAGCATAGCAGAGCACAGCATAGCGTAGCATAGCGTAGCGCAGCACAGCATATCATAGCATAGTCCAGCATAGCATAGCATAGCATAGCGCAGCATAGCATAGCATAGCATAGCATAGCGCAGCACAGCACAGCACAGCACAGCACAGCACAGCACAGCGCAGCGCAGCATAGCATAGCATAACATAGCATAGCATAGCAGAGCAGAGCAGAGCAGAGCAGAGCATAGCAGCAAAGCAAAGGCAAATCAACAGCAGCGACAGCAAAGCACAATCAACGCAAAGCAAAGCAAAAGCAAAAGCAAAGCAAAGGAAAGGTAAAGCAAAAGAAATGTCGTCGTCGTCATAGCATAGCATAACATAGCATAGCATAGCATAGCATAGCAAAGCTTAGCATAGCATAGCGCAGCATAGCATATCATAGCATAGCATAGCATAGCATAGCATAGCAAGCACAGCACAGCATGGCATAGCATAGCACAGCATGGCATGGCATAGCATAGCATAGCATAGCAACTAATGCCGCTTTCCTAGGGGCTCCAACTTCTAGGTAGGGTCGCACTGGGGTAATTTTAAACGACCCGCCCTCCGTCTGCGAAGCTGTTGCCAATTTGTAGAGCTTCAGAATTATGAATAGCGTGGAATCTCAGGCGGAACGCCTGGCCCTGGGGTGCGACGGGGAGGAGGAGGAGAAGGATGACGAGGAGGAGGAGGAAAGAGGGAGGGAGGAGGAGGAGGCGGAGTAGGAGGAAGAGGAGTTGGAGGAGGACCAGGAGGATCAGGATGAGGATGGTGGGGAGGAGGAGGAGGAGGAGGAGGAGGAGGAGGAGGAGGAGAAGGAGGAGTTGGAGGAGGAGGAGGAGGAGGAGGAGGAGGAGCAGGAGCAGGCGCAGGAATTGGAAGAAGAGAGAAGGGGGAGGAGGTGTAGTGGAAGGGGGAGGGTGCGGGCGAGAATGATAATTACGTGGATGCGGGGGAGGATGAGGAGGACGACGATGGTCACGAAAAGCTAGGCGACGACGCCGAAGGCGCAGGCGGATCAGAAACAGGAAAAGCGCGAACACTCTCAGGAGCCACTTTGGCTGAAAAACGCAGTATCGGGATACCGGACTCGAGCTGTAAGTGTTTCGAAACGAATGGCTGAGGATGGCGGGGGCACTTGCATGTTCCTATCGCTTGCAGGCGTGGTCTTCCTCCAAGACTGAAAAACACCAGGCATGGATACAGAAGATGGGCGGTAAACTCAGCGTGAACTTCCTCTTCACCCGACCCTGAATATAGAACACACCATGCCGTCCCTCATGCTTCTCAGGCGAATATTTGTTCTCGGAGCCTCCTCGACCCCCCCCCCACTTCCGGAGGAAGAAGAAGAAGGGGAAAAAGAAGGGGAACGGGGCGGGGAAGCGGACGACGAATAGGAAGAGGCAGGGGAGATGAGGACGATGAGGACGAAGGGGGGACGAAGACGAGGAAGAAGAGGATGTAGAGTTGGAAGAGGATATAAAAAGGGGGCAGCAGGAGCAAGATGAGGAAGGTCTCTTAGTCAGCTCCCCCGGGCTTCTCGGCCCCAGTCACCAAGCTCCGCTTCGAACTTCTTGCCTGTCTCCTGGCAGGAGGCCAACAATGGGAGCAAGCAGAGTGAATAGCCTGGAGTGGTCGCGAAACGCAAGCGCATTGTGGACAGTGGGTGGCCAGACATGCGCGTCGATGAATCCAGAACATGGCCCAGGGCTGAGCCAAGGAGGGAGGACGAACCCACCCACCCACCCGCAAACCCGCCAACGAGCCACGTCGTGGCTGCCACGAACAGAAATGGCTCCGAGGGCCTGGGGGAGGACTTGTGATGAGGCCTGGACTGAACCAGGGAGGAAGGACGAACGAACGAAGCATCCAACCAACGAGCCACGGAAATCAAGGGCTCCGAGCTCTAGAACACAGCTGTGCAATCAATACTGGGTCGGGGCGCAATAGGGGGTGGTCAAGGCCATGGGGAGAGTGGTGGGGACAAGGGGCAGGTGGGAGCGGCCCTGGGAAAAGGGAGACAGAGCCGCGGCCAGAGGGGGGCAGGCCACGGGCGAGGGGGGGGGGAAGAGCGTGGGTGAGGACGAACAACCACAAACGAACGACAATGAAGGGTCGGGGGGCCATTGGAGTGGCCAAGGCCAAGGAAAAGGCGGTGGGGGCGGGGGGCAAATGTGCGTGGCTCTGGACCAGAGGACGAGTGCCACGGCCAGAGGGGGGCAGGCCAGGGGCAGGGGGGGGGCGGACAAACGACCACGAGCGAACGAACGAGAATAGGTCGGGGGGCTTTGGAGTGGCCCAGGCCCGACGAGAGAAGGTGGTGGGGACGGGGGGCGGGGGGGGGCGGTGGGAGCGGCCCTGGGCCACGGGGGGGGAGGGCCACGGCCAGAGTGGGGCAGGCCATGGGCACGGGAGGCCAGAGACAGGGGGGGAGCAGGACGAATGACCACGAACGGCCACGAACTGACAAAAGTCATCGAGGATCGGGAGCAGTGGTGGTGGCCAAGACCAAAGGCAGGCAGGGACGGGGGGGCGGCAAGCGGGAGTGGCCCTGGACAAAGGGAGGGAGGGCCTCTGCCAGAGGGGGGCAGGCAAGGGACATGTGAAGGGCAAAGCAGGGAAAAAAACGAGGTCGAACGACCACGAACGAGCGAAATGTCGGGGGGGTATGGGTGTGGCCAAAGCCGGGGCACGGTGGTGGACGCAGAGGGCAGGTGGGGATGGCCCGGGCCAAGGCAAGGGAAGGGTAAAATGGCCGCGGCCCAGAGTGGAGCAGGCCAGGGGCATGGGTGACCAGGTACAGGGGGGGTAGGAAGGGCGAGGACGAACGACCATAAATGAACAAACGAAGCAAGGGTCGGGGGGCAATGGGGCTGGCCAAGGCTTGGGGGAGAGCTGTGGGGAAGGGGGGCAGATATGAGTGGCCTTGAGCCAGGGGGGACAGGGCCGCGGCCAGAGGGGGCAGGCCATGGGCAGGGGAACCCCCAGGGGCAGGCTTAAGGACACCAACGGATGCTGGTCCACGAACGGGCGCACATAATACATCATATGATCATCCATCGCTGATTTCCCGGGCGGACGTACAGGTTGGGTAGGGGCAGAGGTGGGGCTAGGTAAACATCGTTCTAAGCCGCCCCTGGAAAAAGGAAGTGCGGGGTTCGTCCCCTGCCACCACCTTGGGATAACCCCTTCTCCACGAACCCCCACAAACCGGACTGCAAGTCGACCTCCGGAGGGCCGTGGCACCCAAGTAGTTCACCAGCTCGGCCCGCGAAACCAGAAGAAGTCAGAGGGGCCTCGGCCGCTCCCAGGAGGTAGTCGGCCGCCTCGGCAGGGTGGCACTCCCAAGAGTTGATGAGGGAGGCCAGGCTACGGCCTCCGCAAGGTGCGTGCGCGCGTGTGTGCGCGTGTCTTACGGGCGACGGAATCAGCGATAACTGATTGGAATGATACGGCTCTTCGTTTCCAACTGAACTCCACTGCGAAAATTGCACGACACTCCCGAGATAAGAGTGCCGCGCCGATCAGGGTCGAGCGCGCGCGCCCCAGGTCTTCGCCTCTCTCGAAGCAAAAAACAATTCTTAGCCAGACTGGCTCCCGAAGAAATCACATGTATGGTCCCAACTCCGAAATCACCCGTGCACGAATTGATGCGCACGGCTCCAAGGTTGTCAACTCAAGCAAGAAATCAAAATGTAGCTGCTTATGCCCTACCCTTGTTTTGGCTCCAACCACCCCAGTCTCGGCCCCTCCAGGCCCCGATGCCTCGTGAGCGTGTCCCAACAGAAATGACGGGAAAAGCACGACATGCAACAGGGTCATGTCCAACGCCGTGGACCACGCAGCATACGATCAGCACAATGCATTCACGCGGACAAGAGCGACGTCCTCAGAGTCATCGACCCCATGCCACTCTGCGCCCAACCCGCGAAAACAAGCACAGCGATGCCGAAGCACGACAACTCTTCAGAATGTCTCTCCCGCGCCCCACTGCTTCGCCATAGCCGCGGCTGAATCGAATTATCTCGCGCAACGGCGCATCCCTGCCGCACTGCTGAAACTCGTGGAACTGCCCCGAACTGCCATGGCCCCACAACCTCCACGACGGCGTCAGCGAGCGCAGCGGCATCGCCCCGCAACAGAGGAGGCGGTGCATATCCACGGCGCGCTTTGCACTGGCACCAGGCAGAACAGCATACGCGATGTACCCATTCCCGCGTAGAGCTGCTTCCTGCCGCGCATGCGGGGCCAGCCCCCCCCCCCCCCCCCCCCCACACACCCACACACACACACACACACACACACACACACACACACACACACACACACACACACACACACACACACACACACACACACACACACACACACACACACACACACACACACACACACACACACACACACACACACACACACACACACACACACACACACACACACACACACACACACACACACACCACCCCCCACCCCACGCGCGCACCACCGCAAGGAGGTCGCGCCCGCGACGCCTGCGGGCGGAAGGGATTTCCCAAGAATCGCAACCATAAGCCACGCCATCACACTTACCTGCAAGGGTGAAGGAGGTAAAAGATGAACGCGCTCTTCCACGAGCGGCGCCCTTTTTCGGCTGCCAGCTCGTGCCCAATCAGGCCGCCTTGAAAGTCTCGAAACGGATCGCGATCTTCTCGTCCTTCATTTTCGCAATGACGCTGCAGGAACTTCTCGGCGGCCTTCGGGGCGCCCATATTCCCCCGCATCTCCTGGGGCGCATTGGCGAAGTCCGACCCCGATCCGCTCGGCACGTCGAACTTCTGACTGGCCTCTGCCTCCACCGACGTCACCTGCAAACCTGAGAGGCCCTTGCTAGGCGAGCGCGTTCCACTACTCGCAAAGGAGCTACTCGCAAATGGCCTCGATCCGCCACTGCACTCTGCGAGTAGTGGGACGCGCTCGGTGACTTGCACTTCGGGCCCGAGGAGACCTCGGGGGCCGGCAACGCAATGGCGCTCGACGACGTGCGCGGGCTGCCAGCCGCAGCTGCCGCGCGGGGAGACGACGACGGGACGTGGCCGCTCGCCTGGAGCGGCTGCATCACCTGCTGGTTCAGCAACTGGCTGAAAGTCGCCTCCGCTGCCTTCGCTGGGATCTCACCCCGACGTCGAAGAGCTCCCCTTTCTCCGCCCTGTCCTCGAGAAACTCGCGAAGCCCATCGTTGTGCTTCGTCAGATGCCCGCGCGCCTTCTCCAAACGCGTCTGGCGGCCGCCAGCGGGCGACGAGCTGGAGTCACCCCGACGGCGGCAGCGATCGCGTTCCGCGTCACGGTCGCGACCCTGGCCCCGATCTGGATCGCGAGACCGCCATAGGCGACGGCTGCCACTGCCGTGACACCAACGCCGTGCCCACCGCTGGCTCCGGCCCCAACGCTTGCCCTGTCTACCGCCGCCTATCTCGCCCCAAAGATGAGCTCGGCACTCGCGATGACGGGGCTACGCCCGCAGAAACTCTCGAGCCGACCGAAAGGCAGCAGAGCTGGACAAAGAATGCGGAAGGCCGCGAATAATCCGCGGCGGATGCCCGAATAAGCGAAGTCACATGGGAAATTCCAGAAGCCCCAGACTAGAGGTCAGACGCGGTAGCCCCCAGACTTCGATATCTTGCCAACTTCCCCGTCTGGGTGCCCCACAACGCATCGCATTGCATCGGCGACGCGCCAGACCAGGGAGGCGAATGAATTATCAACGTTGCAACTTGGGCGGGGAACTCCCCAGACCCACGCGCAGCAAGCCTCCATTCGGATTCTTGCGCGCGAGTGTCAAGGTAAGGCCATTCACCCAGCAGAAGGCAAAGTCCAGCCACTCAAGCACGCTCTTCCACATCATGAGTCATGGCGTGCAGCCCTGGACCCATGCTTTTTGCGCTTCTGGCATCGCGCCGGACGCGAGCCGATCCTCGGGCCCGAGTGCGTCTCATTGATGCGCTGACGTGAGGCGCTCATGTGACTGGCCAGCGGGGCCAGTAAAATAAATTGCGCTCCTCGGGCAGCAACCTTCCAACCCGATGCGACAGGAGTGCCGCTCACATCTAGAATGCGTCTCCAGTGACTACACGCCCTGGCTCGGCGCATATGAGGCGCCCATCAGCGCGGCACTTGCTTTAATGAGCAGAAGAAGACTGGCTCGCCAATGTGGTCGAGGCAACCCCCATGCATTGCTTTTCTTAAGAGTCCCCCTGTGCCATGGCAGCAAAAGCCGTCCTTGCCTATGATCGAGAAAGGTTCGAGACACGCAAGAGGGCAGGAGGGAAGAGAGTGAGAGTGAGAGTGAGAGAGGAGGAGAAGGGCGGAAGATCCATGCAAGCTGCTCTGGCCCACCAGGCAACTGAAAGAAGCGTCGGATTTCGGCGAAAGAAGGCAGCGCGCTTGGCATGAGGGCGGAGCGAAGCCGCTCTAGCGGCAACCATGGACATCGAAGAGCTATACCACGGCTCTTGCGACGCGGCCCGCTGCTCGGCTACTCAGGCCCACCAGAACCGCCGAAAGCAAGCGTCCTCGAGCTCCCAACCAAGTGTCTGGCTACTTT